AGCATGACTGCACGACTGCATATTTAAAAACAGACAAGAAACAGACACAGAGGATCTTTTTATGGTGATAGACACTCACACCAGAATGTGAGACTAGCTAAAGCAATGTTAATGTTTGCAGTCAACAGAAGTTGCCTTGAAATTACTGCAGTACAAAGCTGTGTGGGGAGAGCTGTGGCTTCCTAGACACCGTGCCCAGGCCTGCTGAGGCTTTGTGGATGGCTGGCCCCGGCTTTTCCCTTTTTTTTTACGCTGTGGTGGTGGCAGCAGCAGCCACTGGTAGGGACAAGCCAGCCAGTCCAGACTCAGGCTTCCTTCTTGTACCACCCTGCCCTTAGCTGGATCCAATATACAATTACTGATATGATATACTACAGCACATTGTAAAACTGAGAAGCATACCTTACTATTGCCAGCTAGTAGGTGGTGTAACTGGACTGAGTTTCAGAAGCCAATGTGTCCCTTTTAGAAAGAATAAGCTACATTTTGCCCGTGGGCAACAACAAGCTTTTCCTGGTTTATGCTTCATGCTTCACTCTATGTGTAAGATTCACTCACCTCTACAAATGATGGGGTTTATAGAGGCAGAAAAAGAAGAAACCAGAAATCAAAAAGGGAGAGATTGCTACATAATTATATTAGGCCTATAAATATTTCACAAAGTAAGCAATAATTATGTCAACATGGGGACATTCTAAATGACAAAAGTCCAAACCTTTTATGATTTTCTGTGCGTCCATTTTTTATGGGTTTTAATGTTTTAATGTAAAATTCTAAGTAAAAATCTAATTTCCAATATTTTAGTGTGTACGTATAAATGCACAGGCCAGTACGTACTCCCAGTCTCATCCACATCTAGACTATGCTCATAAAACATCTTATTCAAACAAACAAAAAGCCCTCCTCTCACTTTAATGGTCAGGAGAGTACTAAGGTTAACAAAGTACTTGCCTTCAGGTATGGAAAGTACATAGTTGAAGATAAGTAAGCTTATGCACATGAAAAATAGTAAAAGACATTCAGAATACTCTCAATAAAAACAATAAATAATCTATTTGTGTGCTGAAAATATCCTGTGGACAGAAGGAAGAAACTGTTATCTGAAAGCAGGTTTAATTAGGGTAGATATTGAGAACAAACCCTAAGTTGTTCTACAGTAGTTTATTTGGTATATTTGATCACTTTGATATATTCGTGTTTCAGTAGCTCATTCCATACGCAACTAACCCAAGTTACAAGCAATAGGAGTAGTTGTGTTGTGAGAGCTTCATTCCTTCTCCTGCAATATGCTGTGCTAAACAATGGAACACATACCTATTCTGCAGGAACATCTGGTCGTTTAGAAGCTATAAAAATGCCGTCATCTTGCACTTCCTTGGTGATGTTACTGCTTTTTTAAAAGATGGTGTCTGTTCCATCTGGGGATTTCACAGGTCTTAATCTGGCAACCATGAAAAACTATCTAAAAGGATTACTAAAATAAATCCAAAGCCTGGACATCAATGTATATGAACCAGTGGAGTTGCACCTTTATACACCATGGCTAGATTTCACCCTAGGTATTTAAACTTCTTTGCAGTAAGTGCTTGTGTGGTCTGGTAATGGATAGAAGTGGTGTTCTGAACTTTCTTTGCAAATCCCCCTGGTTGACTGAAGGATCCTGAACACATATTTCAAAAATGTCATTGATAAACTAGAATTTTTTTAAAGGCTTGATGTTATGCTAATAGACCTACTAAAACCTAGCTTGAGTGGCACAGATTCACATATTAAGTACTTGTAATACAAAATGCACAATAAAAGTCCTGGTGAATAAAGCAATGAAAATTTGTGAAAAGCGACTTACTTGGATTGCACATCTGCAGCTTTTAACAGCCTCACTCTATTCTGTCCATTTTAACTGATACAATAACCAAAAAGGTGACTTTATATTATAAACCAACAGGAAAATTTCACTTCCATTTATAGATAACCATTTCCTATAAGTACCTTCCTTTCAAATACTAAAACAACCTTCCCAACCAAAAGTTAACACTTAAACCCTGAAAAAAGTAATAAAAAAGCAAAAATACCAAGACTTTGCAAGACGATTATTTTCACTCTCTCTGAAAGAAGACACTTCTTCCTATTTTATAATATTCCAGAGCACCAATTAAACAAGTCAGGCAAAACTGACTGGTAGTTTCAAGGCAGAGTCTCTAAGGGACACCAACATTTGAATATGGAAAATAAACCCCTCTCGGAGTGGCTATATTAAAGTCCTTTTTATAGGAAATTGACTGCTATTTTCTGTACATGGCTAAGTCTGAGAATATTTTACAAAAGGTTTATAATGAAATTGCCTCCAAATCCCAAATGACATCAGTGCTACATATTTCACTCAGTAGTTAAATAATTACATTACAGATCTAATGGCTAGATTATCTTAATCAACTTGCAGGGAAAAGAAATGGGAGCGTTTGTTGGAGAAAGTGCTGAGGAGCCTGGGTGATTTAGAAGCCTGTCCATCAGTGGGTCTCAGCTTAATTTGATTCTGAAATGGTGTTCACTGTTTATTGAACTCTTTCCGTATTATTACAATATCATGGTTAATACTTCCCGTGGATCCTAAGAAGACTATGTATCCTTCACAGTTACTTTTTCTCACCAGGTTCCTTCATCCTTTATCATTACATTTCACCTTTTCAGGCAGTGTTACAGTTGATAAAAGAGGTGAATTTTGGACATGGGCCTTAGAAGTAGCTCGACGATGGATTTGGCTGCAAGTCAAAGAGTTTAACTTTAAATGTATTCTTCATTCTTTATTAAGTGAGTAACACCTATACATAGATGCCTTGCTGAAATGAAGCCTGAATGGCTATAGTTGTGAAGCTTTTGCTTTGAGCAGGGAGACATGTTGCAAGGTCTCATGAGATTCCTTGTAATGGAACCTTCCTACCTATGAAAACAAGCATTTTATGCAATGGCTTATCTAAAAAAGGCAAGAAACAAAATGGAGAAGAATACTTTCCTAAGTCTTTCCAGACAGTGTGATTGTATATACCTTGTTTTCCTGGAAAACCAGGTAAAATACTTTTAACGTAGTTCCACAGGGTTGTAGGAGAAAGCAGAATTAATGAGAAATTAAACTGGTAGGTAGTAGACTGGCCTCTAATTGTCCTACAAACATTAAAGAGAATGATGGCGTATTTTCTCATTTCTGAGTGGCTACTTTGTTAAAAAAGTCTTGGAGCGATGAGAAAAAGAAGGGAGAAACTAGCAAAGGAGTTTCATCTTCTCCCTATTTCCATATACAGAGAGAGACAGCTAGTTATGAGGTACTTATAAACTGGAGTCTTGGGTTAATCATTGCCACTGCTGATGAATCAGGATCAAAATGTACGCCACTTACTCTAAGGAAAAGAAAAATTTCATTATGGCTTGGAATATCTGAAGTGCCTACATCAGGAAAACTCTTAAATTCAAAAATGTAATATATTATCTGAATAATATACATATTTGTGCAAAGGTCAACTTCACTGAGGATTTTAAAAGAGCTGAAGGTTAACCAAAGGCAACTGTCTCACTATTTTTCTTTTAAATAAGGTGACCTTTTTCTGGATGATGTTTTAGAGTCTTCTTTTTAACATTCAGTTTTTCCTTTTTTTTTCATTTTTGCAGATTTTGTTGTATTATAACTGAAATTAATGTTTTCATTTATTTTGATAAATAGTCTGCATTTACTGAATAGCTGTTTTGCTAATAAGTATCATTAGTTGTGACGCTGGTAGACACTAGGTTCTGGAGATTCCAGTTTGGGACACAATAGGATCATCTATTATGGGACATTATTATTACTGCTGTGATACTTCGCTTTGTTTCAAAGTATGTCTGCTGGTTTCTACTTTGGCATCTTTTTATATCAAAATGTCATCTCTGCTGTCATCTGGGGATATTGAAATTCAGTACAAAATTACATAAATAGTCCTTTTTGAAAACAATTGCTTTTCATCAGCCAAATCCCAAGCATTTTTAGAAAGTATTTTGAAAGAATCAAGGCTCAAACAAAAGGAAATTTTATGGAAAAGAAGAGAATGCTCTGTTTAGCATGCTGTTCATTGCATTAACATCCTTAAATGAAGTTTTTTCATTTACGTTTTAAACAGTTCCAAAATGGAGCAAGTATGAGTCTGCAGACTTTTCAGGATTTCTCTCTCTCCCTGGATCATAATGCAGAGCTCAGGCCTATTTCTAAATTTTACTTTTTTGAAACTTGGATTAAATGAAAGAGTGAAATTTTTAAATAATTTACAAGAGTAAAGCTATCCAGAACTCCTCATTTCAATAGAGAAATGTAAATAAATGTCTACTGCTAGAAAGGCAGACTAATTTCACATGTGATTTTTGTCTCTTGTAATGTTTTCTTTTACTGTAATACTTACCACATAGCAGAGCAGTCAAAATTCACTAGCAGCCATTTGTGAGGATTAAAGTTAAATGAATCTGCAAACTGAGAATGGATAAATAAAAAACAGAATTATGAAAGAGAAAAGGATCCATGTGCTAATGATACAACTTTGTCAAATTGTCTGAGGTACACCTTGACTACGAATGAATTCCTGAATTGGGGCTTTATAGATAAAGTTCATGCTGATGTCACACTACTTAATAACTATTGTAGTTAAATCTTCATTTATTTTGGGGATGGATTTCAGGTTAGGTGTGCAGCTATGCTGTTGGTATTATCAACTTTTTGAGCATTTGCTAACAATTACACTTTTTAGATACATATGTTATGGAAAAGTATGTATCTCGGTGTAAACTAAAAAAAAAAATCTGCATACTCAGGAACATCCACTGTGGTTCATATCCCGATTTCCAAAAACAATTCACTAAGCTTTCTATTTCCAAGAATATTAAACATACACACACAACATTCATACATAGAGACAAATGATATATTTAGTTCAGAATCTGCATATCACATTCATTCATAAAATTACAACTGACCAGGAAATGACTTTTTTTTACTGCCAGGGTATTTTCTTTTAGTAGAAGTCATTTTTTCATCTAAGTCAAAAGAAAAACCAACACAGAATAAGCATTCACAATACATGTTTATATAAATCATGTAACAGGCCCGTTCTATTTGACATATGTTCAGGCGTGGCATCACAGGAAAACCAGGTAGGTAAGATGGATATTGCGTGGGAAAGGCTTTGTCCGTGTTTTGTGTGTTAACAAAGGCAGAAGCCATCAGCCTTAAAAAAGAGAGATGGGGGCCTGGCAGCACCAGGGTCTGACTACTCCATATAGCACTTTTCTGTTCTCATTTGCTTCTCATAACCTTCCCTGTCACTTGGAAACAATTAACAATTGTTCTCATAAAAGGAGATTATCTGTCTGTCTGTCTGTCTATCTATCTATCCATCTATCTAGCTATCTCCCTGTACTATGTAAGGTAAGAAACCTATTCATGGTTGTTAAATATTTACTCTTATGACAAATGCTGGCCCAGACAAGGTATGCTGTTTCATTTCCTTCAGGAACCAATAGCAATAATTTAAAAAATATCCCCCCACAGGAAATTACAACAAGCTTCATTTGCTGGTAAAAAAGAGACAGAAAGAAATGCTTTATTTGTCAGAGCGGTTTCCCTCCTCTTCTTCATTAGTCACTACCTATCAGTGCTGTGTTTAAACTTCTGGCTTTACCAAACAGTAATATTTTCTCCACTGACGTGGAAGACAAGGACTTATCTGACCGTCTGAGGGGAGCAGCAGGAAATTGAAGTATTCTTATCTAAGCAACTGAATGCCAAGTAGCTCAGCGAGGGGGGTGGGAAGGGTGGGAGGAATAGGAGTGCTGTTGGAGGAATATTTCATTTAGCTCTCTTGGTTATTAAACCCTGTCTGTTTGAGATACAGCTACTGGCTGTATCATATATGACTTTCAGGATGTAAGCAAAAAATCAGACATAACGAGCTCATTAATTTGTTGATCTTTTTTTTCTTTTTTGTGTCATGTAGAATGAGGGTGTTATAAACGTGCCTTTTTGCATATTCAGGAAAAAGTTCCTCTTTCCTATTTTGTAAGATACTTTGTTGATTCACTACTACTTGCTATTCTGAATAACAAACTTTTACATACTGTGGTAGCTTGTATACTCCCAGAATAAACCAGTAAAAATTATATAAACATAAGTAATGTAATAAAATATACAGGGATTTGTAGTGCAAACTGAAGTACAGCATACTCAGAGATTCTAGAAGAGGTGTTAATGTTGGATGCATAAGAAACAGAAGTTCTACAGAAGAGCAAGGTTTTAGCAGGCTGCTAGAGAAGAAACACTTCATTCACCTCCACTCCGTTTAAAAGATGCCTGAATTCAGGGCAGATGAATGCACTCCCAGCATAGGCTGCATCAATATGCATCCAGATGTTTTCCTTATTACCTAAAAAAAAAAAGTAATTGAAGGGGAAATAAATTAAACAGCAGATTAAAAAGCCTATTAATTTGCATGAAACCAAATGCTGGAGAGATTGTTCTTTGATGTTATTATTTTCCCAATTTAAAATTAAATTAAGAGATTAAATGTTTCTACCATCTGGGTTTCCGTTAATACATAAAGATGTATACATAACATATTCTTCTTCCTCCCCATTTCTACTGGAACAGAGTCCTTACATGTCTAGGTTTATCTTATTAATATTAAGCAACATAAAACATTAAATGATTTTGATTTAAGAACCATTATAAAATACAGTTTAAAAAGATGTATCTAGAGATGTAGTTATCATCTGTATGGTAATAAAACTATATCTGCTTTAGCAAGAGGAGCTAGAGTTTTAGCTGTGCTCCCGACGTCTAACTCATGAATCACAAACACTTTTCTAAACAGTATTTTTTACATATCGATATATGTGCATGCGCATGCTTTTGAACTATGTGCAGCAAACTATTTAATTCAAGGACTGAGACACTTATGCAAGAGCAAGCATTGAAAGGTTAAGAAAGTGCTAGTTTTGATTAGTCACTGAATGGTTTCTGCAGAAATATTTTAGCATATAGGCCTCTCGTAGTCTCTGTAATTTAGTATTCACACTCTGCTATAGATCACCTGTATTAATGCACACGGTAACAATTCTGGTCTATGAGTTGATGACTGAAGCCCACATAACATCTTTACACTGGTCACCAAATAATTCTGATGGGTATTTCCACATACAGAGGTATATCCATTCAGATCTGCAACTGGGCACCAAGGTCATGCTGGAATTTGCATTCTTGTGAACTACATTTTCTTTTTGCATAAATGTCTGGAAAAAGCTAATAAAATGTTATTCATAACATCCACAACTGAGGTTTATTTGAAAACATGTTCAAAGTTCAACTGATTGATTGATTATTTATTTTTAAATATACTTGGTTTGAGACACTGCCTTTATTTCATAGGACTACTGCTCATGTATATTAAGAAGAAAATTCACCTGCACGCAGTAAAGCTAGCAGGAGACTTATGATTTGAGGAGTGCGCAATCGTTCTGCTGGTCTCTGCTGCACAAGCAGGAAATCATTGAGAGCAACTGGTGAAACATGCATGATTAGTTGCGAAACCTAGAAACATTGGTGTCACTATTTTATTAGGTCAGGTCTATAGGAATAACCTGAACAGCAAAATAATCTCTAGCTGCTAAGCAGACTACTAGAAACCTTTTTAGAAAGGAGGATTGGGAGAAACTGAGTCTCTAGGGCTTGTGCTGAAGGGCAGGAAACCTCACAGAGCAAGTCACCACCACACAAACCCCGAATGTTTTAGGCCCCACCTGAGCAAATTAACAGAACATCAAATCTAGCTGTGTTTCTATGAGGCTGCCTCCAATTCCTTATATATAATAATATATAATAATATAAAATTTATAGCTTATATCTATAAATTTCCTGTTCTAAATGCACACTTGAACAGATATGGTGCGCTTCTGCTGCGCTTTCATCAGCCAGCAAGTGTGTGCTTTTGACCAAGCCTTGCTGCAGATCAAAGCTTGACACAACAGACCGTAACACAGAAATACTTATGAAGAGTCCATGACTCGGTCACTGTATTAAACACTCTGGCACTTGTCCTGTTTTCTTGCAAGAGGAAAGAAACTGGGGAAGGGAGAGGAAGGATTAAGGAGAATACATGTGGATTTTTGGTGCATATTTCCCTGCTTTCTATAGTTGTTAGAACCAGACAGAAACAAAACACTTGGTGCAGAGGAGAATTGGAGTTCAGCTTTTCCCTGATCTTCACCATTGCTCTAGATGCACTTGCAGGTAGAAGGGCTTGAAGAAAAATGTTACAAACTGAAGCACTTACTTACAGTAATTTTTAACTGACAGTGTTCTAAAATACGCCTCCCCCAACAATACCCTTGACGCAATGTCATCTGTACTCTTTAACGGTTTGAGAACGCAAGCTTGCTGCTTGACCTAACATTAGAAAGAAAACTGTAACTGAAGGTCTCATCTATAAGTAGCCTTATTGAATTTGGACACTGACACTGCACAATGCCCTGGAAATGACTCAGCGTGGCTTAAACTGGCATCTGCAATTTTAGAAAGTAGCAGCAAAGACTTACAAATAGGACCCAGTTCTAACAGTTTGTCAAAGGAGCAGCAAGGTGTGGTTCCAAGCGTCGCACAGAACTGCAGAGCCAAAAAACAAAGGCAAAAAAAATCGTTACAGCAAAATTATCAAATGAAAAAAACTGTCTGCAAAGGCAACAATAGAGAGAATAGATGATATAGGGCAAAATAAATTGATTTTAGCCAATACCTATCCTTCAGTGGAATTTTTGAGAATCTAATTTTTTTTTCAAAGCTCCCATAAGCGTCCATTGAGACAGATGCATAAAATCAAATGTTAATATAAAATTGACTGATAAGTAATGTAATATAGTCACAGTATTATATTAATGCTATATTTTATATATTTTCTGTGTTCCACATGCTTATCATCTAACCAATACTAATCTCACATACGCAATTATCATCAAAATGATTTGCAGTTTATGGTGTATAAGCCAACTCTGAACTTGAGCAACTTAAAGGTGCTGAAATTCCTGTTGACAGAATGGATCATAAAATGTTACTGCCTGAATTAAAGAGCCACAGCTCTGTAACAGAGACTTGTGACTGATTTGTGCTCAATGGATCTGCAGCCTGCGACCTGTTCACTAGTAGCATATATTCACTATTAGGTTTGCAAGATTTTTTCCCAGAGAAACTTTTTCTCCCAAATTCATCCTAAAATACTGGAACCATTCTTCCTTCATTCTGTTAATGTCTCATTTAATGTATCCTGCCACATGACCAGTGGGCCAAAAGCAGAGGCAACATAAATGCTCAAGTTTCACAGTAGAAAGAGAATATAACTAGGTGAAAATGAGCTATGGTAATTTACTGGGAATATGCAGATAGAATTATAACGCAAAAAAACAACTACCAAGTGCATATAAACTGACATTATTTTATTTTTCATTGCTACACTTACGTTTTAAACACCTCATTTCATTTTTGTAAGCACTAATAAAGTCTGGGTCCAGGTTTTGCCTTGTACTGGATTTTTATATAATAAAAGACACTTTACAGTTTAAATAGGCAAATAAAGTATGCTGGGTTTTAGTTAGAGTATTGAAGTACAAAGGAATTAGATCATTTATCCAAGGTCACACACAAACTATAGTACAGCCAGGAGATGACTATAAATATGTCAAATCCAGATTTTTTTTTTTTTCCTACTTCTGGTTACTTTTTCTGCCAAGTACGCTGTCAATGCACTATCTTTTGCTTTCACTGTTTTTCCCTATATATCTGCAACTAGCCACATTTTTCTGGTGTGTGTGTGCGCACGTCCCTCAGCAAATTCATGACAAGACCTATAAGAAGACAAAGGAACACCTAGATGATACTTGTCCATCCACTAGACCTTTCAAGAAACAGACATACTGTCATAGCAAAACATAGATACAATTCTACATTAAAACTCCATACAGATTATAGGATTTTGGCAAACAATTTGCTACTGGCATAATAACATGAAATTATTTTTCTCAGAAGTAGAAAGCTTACTGTGCTGGTTTAGCCTAATACCACATTTCACTTGCCAAGTGTATGCTCTTTTCTATTCTTCTAGCTTGGACATTCACATGCTGTCTCTCCTGCATTTCACTGATATCTTGTTAATTCTAGGAATTCCCGTTACTCAAAAGTTAAACGATGCCAGCTTTTTCAGGAGGGTCTTTTTTCCTTCCTTTTTAAAAGGTGATACACATTTGCACTAAGTATTTCTGCTCTGATTAAACAGACTGCTTGATAGCTACCAATATTTTACCCTTTTATTTGTTCCCTTGAACACTCATCCCCATTCATGAATTATCACTCACTTTCAAGCTAGAGATTCCCTTGACTTTTTCACTTCTACCAGCTATTGGATATTGGAGGCTGTTACAGATCATCTACAGTCACATCTTGAAGCAGATCCTGTACACATCTCAGGACTAAGACTTGGTTTTCCCTCTGGAGGTTCCCTTACTAGTCCTCCCAATAACTTCTCATGAAGTTTAACATGTTTGTTTCTTTTTGCTTTTCACATTTCCCATCAAGTTTTTTTTTCTTCTTTTCATTCTATGAAATAAAGCAGAAACAGCACACTAGAAAGGCCTGACATCTTGCAAAAAATAATCTGATTATGAGACAAAGAGTTGGATAAATATGATGGGATTTTCATTTGCAAGTTCCAGGTTTTTAGACAATTCATGCAAAGTGAGAGATGGTTGTTTTACTACTTATTAAACTAGATTTTTCAAAATTTCTAGGAAATCCCAAACTAACATAAACATCCAGTAAAAAGGACAGGTAGATATGTATTCAAAAAGCCAGAAATTTAAAATGATACATCCCAAGAATAGTGAACTAATTCAATAATCTGTTGCTAGAGAGGTAAAACCTCTCTTTTAAGTACACTTTTGAACATTTCTGCATCTATATTATACCATATACCTCAGAGATATTTCAAATTGTTGTAGGGAGCTGAATTTTTCTGTTCAATGGAAAGTACTCATATATTACTCAATTCATATAAATTTATGTACACTCTTAAAGGAAGTCATATCCTGCCTTTGTATAGGGCAGACCTGATTAAATGTAGTCATATAAAACCCTGAAAACATTTTATCCCTGACAGCACACATGTTCCCCCAACTTCACAGTTACAGCAATATTAATAACTACAATCATGTTTCATTGCACCAATAAAAAATACTGGCTATGGGAAAAGTTATTATTAAAATAAGAAAGGGACAATTCAGTATTTTTTCCATATCAAGCTACTAAGAACCTGAGTTTGAAACAAATACAGTTCTGAAAATGAGAAGCACATTGACTATATAGTTAATCAAATTTTGCTGCTAACATGTTTTTTCCTCAAAATAATCTAATCTTTATCTATACTGGGCCTTCCCATATTCCTGAGACACAGGAGAAGAACAGAATAATTACAGTGCCTTGAGGTACATTTATGACTTCTCTGGAAGTTTAATCATCCTTTGAGAGAGGTTGCTTTAAAAAGATTGCAGGATATATTTTTATAAAGGAATAAGTTTGCTCCCTTTTTTTACTAAAAGGGCATGCAGGTATGGAGTGAAAATATATTTATCGCATTATTGTCTACCCAAGATGTTCCCACAGTCAGGAGAAACCTGCATTTCATCTTTGGCTGAACTACAGATCTACAAATTGTGTCACAAGAAATGGAGGACCATGATGAAAATTCTTATTTTCCTATATACATAAAGAATAGGGATTAACCCATTGGATTGGAAAATACCCAAATAAAGAGTGCGCTATAGACTTAGCTCTGCTTTTATACATATATTTTATGATAATATGATGTGGACTTTCTGACAAGATTGGAGTGAAATTATCTTGGCTTGTCCAGCAATTAAAATAATGATGGAGATTTCACAACAGAAAGTCACACATTATTGTTATTAGTGTTGTACTGCAGTTAAAGTATTCTCCTTCTAATCAGGATAAGGAGTATGTTTCTTCAATGAGAGATTATATGAGTTCAAACATATGCTTAGTTGTTTAAATAATGGCTTATTCTGTAAAGTATACCTCAGTTTCTAAAATAATTTTGTTGTCCTCTCTGCAGGTGTCTAAGCCTCAAAGCTACTTGTTTTAATTCTCAGAAACCACTTAAAGTGACAGCATCTGCTCTTGTCAGGACTCTCATTACCCTGCCTCCGTACTACACAATGAATCTAACTCAATTTGTAACCTGTATAACACTGGCAAAATCACATTTGTGCAAAGGGCGGGGGACAGGCTGCATCACAGAAATGGGACTGATGGCTCAGTATAGCCTGCAGGCCTTACCGTTTTCAGGTTGTGCCCTTCAAATTTGACTCAGCCCTGGTTGCAAATACAAAGCAGCTAAAATGCTTGCATCAGTCATCTCATGTATTACTTTCCTGAAGTAAAGAGCTATGTCAGGGAACATGCATGAATCTTTATGATGCCTGAGAGCAATGACTCTCAATCTTTTCACCTGGAAGACCTCCTACAGCTTTTGAAAGAGATGTGGACACATTTTGCACAGTTTCACCTCAAAGCTTTTCATTTGCAATTAACAAAAGCGAGGCAGAACTTCCAATGTTCTCTTACTATTTTTATTTTCTCCTACTCAGTTGTTTGCCAGCTTGCAGTCATGAGAATGTCTGTGGCTTGAAGAAAACTGCAACAGTTTACTAAACCACCATTCAGTATTTTACAAAACAGCAATCATTCACAAACTGTGGGTTAGGAAACATCGCCCTAGACATCTGTACATGTCTCAAGAACGCTTCTTCCAAATGTGAATCTGTGGTCAAGATCTAAGTGTTAACTTCTCCTGAAAAGATGGCTCCTCTGTCAGACTAATTCTGATTTATTGTTTCCCGAGCGAGTCCAGATACAAACAGCCTGCTTCTTAATATCCTGCAGACCATCATTCAGAAGAGTAATTTCAGCTAGAATCAGAGAGATTTCATGCTGGGCCTTTGTTCAGCAGCAAGGCGATCATGTTATAGCAGCTTTATACTGGATGAGGTTGTTGAAGTATATTGTACTATATATATGCCAGCTGCAATATATCACTGTTGATTTATGAAAGACAGCATAAAGCTCACAGGCCACTTACACATATGCAAGTGAACTAGGCTTGAATGCAGTGGACCCTATGTCTGAATTTAGCAGTGCTTAACTTAGTGGTCTCCACATTTGAGCATCCCGGTCAACATTCATCCAACGTAGAGGCCTGTCTCAGGCTGGGAGCACAGGGCCCAACTGAGAAAGGCATTTATGCACGTGCTTAACCACCGGTTAGTGTTTGTAATTAATGAAACGGACGTGACTTCAGCACATGCTTTAAAGCTCGCCTTTAACTGGTGGCCAGATGAAGGGCTGCATGTCAGCCACACTTGGAAATTGTTCCTCAGTAAATCGTGGCAACTTTAGTGCCTCAACACCTGACACGGTTAAGTGCTTTGTTTGCACAGTCTGCTTGCTTTACTATATGAAAATATCTCTGCTTCAATTTCTGCAAAAGTGTTTTGAAAGAGACAAATTAACACAAGTCTGAACTTAGAAATAAAAAAAGGAAACAAAAGTAGAAGTCTGGGTACGCTAACTGGCAATAGCCTTCACTGAACAAAATGATATACACGTTACTAGTGCTAAAAGATATTGATGGTGGCTAGGAATTCAAAGACTCATTTTAAAGACAATGCCCCTCGCAAAAAAAGACTGACTGCCAAATCCTATGTATGTGAAAAGCAAACCTATAATTACCAGATTGCTGTAATGAGAGAGCCTGTTTCACATCAAGCAAATGCGCCCCTGGTTCTCCACTCACCTCTACAAGCAAAGCACTTCTATCGAGTTCAGTATAATGATTCCTCATTTATTCATTAAATAAAAGAGGAGAATCATGCCTATAAGGCATTGTAATTTGCTTGTATTTTCCTTTTAATCCCCTACAAAACTTTTTTTTTTTCTGATAAGGGAGACTGCATCAGCTTAGATGCAACCAAGATCTCTTCATTAGGAATGATCTCTCTGCTGTCACAAGTCTCTCCAGGCAGAATTTCTTCTGTTAAACTTTTTGCTTTGATGTTGAATCACTCCCCTTAGTGAAGGATCAGCGAATACAGGGAGACAAGGAATAAAGTGGCGTAAGGTGTTTCCTTGGCAATGTGCATATCTTTGTCACCAGAACAAAATAAAATCGCACCAAATTACTCAAGAACAAAAGAAATGGAAAGGCTTTTGAAATCTGCAAGCCAGAAAAGGGAGCACTAATACAGTGCATGGACTGCTGCTCCGCATGACAGAGAATTAACACACCTTTTGAGTTAAGAGGCCAACCATAAGGATAATGAGATCTAGTTTAATCTAAGCTGACATTTTTTATGTATACAAATAAATGGAAGACCTGGCACAGGCCATATTAACTCAGACTGAGCCTCTACTGTCTTTGAAAGCCTGTTTTGCACAGCTAAGCAAACAGAGGAGGTAAAACAATAGTTAAATCACCCTTTGTAAAGGTGTCACTGAGTGCATAAACCAGAATCTTTTATTTCTTCTTGCTACACATAGAAAAATTAATAAGGAATGAATTTTTATGAGGGGAAAGTTGCTTTTTTTTTGTTAATGGACAAAAGATGAGGAAAAACCATTTAAATTTGTAATTCGTGCACGGAGATGTGATATAGTGCTGTACTTGTAATTGTTTAAAATTAACAGTAAGATAAACAAGTAGAATCTTATATAAGATATTATGAGCTGGTACCATACAACAGAGAAATAAAACATGCCTTATGGCACATCTCCACTTCAATAGGTGCATCCCACAGAAGAAAGTTCATTTAGGCAGCCTTATAGATGCTTTGTTTCTCAGTCATAGTCTCATTACATTGGAAAGCAATTGATGGGATGTGCTTGGTCATCCCAAGGACTCGCTAGTTCTAGACAGGCTAGAAATTAGCAGCATTCTGCACATATGAAAAACACTTTTCACCCTAGTCATCCTCATACTACATAAAAACAGACACTAAAGGTTGACACACACAAGATGAGTAAAAAGATTACATTTTCAAAAGAGCTTGGTGAAATTTAAGCTTCTTTGTCCTCTTTGGCACTTATCCATGACTATAAGCAAGCTTAATCTGCTAATTCTTCTGAAAATAATTAATAGAAATTTAAGTCACATTAGCCCTTTTGTTACCACATGAAAGAAAAAACCATTGTCAGATATGACTTTTCTGAAAAAATTGTGACATATTTTTAACTCTCATAAAAATCCCACTTCTAAAGTTCTCAGTTTCTAAAATAGGGTTTTTTTCCTCCAATTTTTCTTCAGTGGAGGCCAGTAAAAATATATTATTGGTAGCATATTATACCTCTTTATAGATCTGTACAGATGATGGTTATATCAAGTTTCGTAGAGGCATAATGCTTGGAAATGAGCAAAAAATTTTGTTGATGAAGTACAAAAACAACAGAGGTTACTTACTCCATCAAAAAACAAACGATAAAATCTTGCTTTAACTTGAAATAATAAGATGGTGTTCTGAACTTACAGGAGGAGTAGATCTGATGAATAAGCAAATATTCTTTTCAATCAGGTACTTATCACAGTAGAACCAAACTTTTCCAATCTAACACTGTTCTGTGTCAAAAATTGGGGCATTATGAGCTTTAGCTAATGAGATACAAGCATTTGCTTTTGCTGGACTGCTGTGGATGCAGGAATCTCTGGAAAGGAAAATGGACAGATAACAAGAAATGATGACACCTTAAAACTTCCACAGCTGGATTCCCTATAGCTCACCTGTTAGAGATAAGTCACATACTCACAAATACCTGTCTGACAATGTCTGATCTTGCTGATGTTTGGGGTACGTTATGGAGGTTGATTTCTTTGCTAAAGCAGTGAGGAGGGGAAACTATTTTTTCTTGAAAATATTTAAGTTAGAGATACCATCATTTAATTTATTGCCTTTAAACTTGTTTTATGTGTAAGTAAGTTAGAACCTGAAAAGTAGAAGTATACCTTTGCAAAACAGGCAGTTCAGAATTCAAATGTGAGGAGATTATAACATTGCAGGATTACATGCAACTACAAAATTCACCTGCATTAAATCCTTTTAAAACATCATTTTTGCGGAGAAGTGCAACCAGCTGCTCAAATGAGTTGCTTATACTGCACAGAAAGGTGTGTGAAGAACACTCATAGAACCTGTCCTAATATTCTAGCTAGGCTGCCTATCGATTCCTCTGTTAGGGATGAGATCATCTACTCATGTCAAAAATAGCTTATCAGAAGCAATAAATCTACTGATTAATTAAAATCCAGTACTCACAAAGAATGGGATAAGACCAGAAGCTTTGTCTTCATCCAAAACTTTCTTTAGGGCTGAACCACAAACACTAAATGTATCATCTGAACAAACATTTTTAATCTTCACACCACCAATTAATGCAGCCCTTTCCACTGATGAATGAGCCTACAAGGAAATGGGCAGGTTTTAAGACAGATACCTTTTATTGGAATGTAAGAAGTTCATTTGAATTTGAAAACAAAAAATCATTTCTTTCAAGTAAAGCAATACTTGAGATCCTGGGACTGTTGCTGGTACATAACAGAGACGTACCTCTCCCTCTTTCATACAGACAGACAGACAGACACACACACATACATACATATATACACATACATACACACACGCGCACAAATACACTAATAGAAACCCTGAAGTATTCTTGAAACCATCGCCATGGTGTCATTCAGACAGGAGTTCAATTAACCTTAGTGAGAGCTTTAATTAACATGTTCACAATTAGGCAGGATTGATTAAGAGCTTCAGGATTTGGCTCCAAATCAACCAAAAGACATGCAGATAATCAGCTTGCCTGATAATGATTCAGTTGCTTACTAGCATATTTTTATGGTGTACAGTTTTGCTGAAGCCTAAAAAAATATACATCATGGTATGGTATAGACTGAGATATTTTCTTACATTACCTTTTTTTTTAGATTACCTACTGAATAAATTGTGGTTCAATCATTCATTCATTTTGGTAGGCAATTAAGGATCATTCCCAATATGTTATTTTATTTATAACCCATTTTGTCTGAATTCCCCTTAAACGATATTTTTTAGAACACAAAGTACATCTCAGTAAATAAAAACAAAGATATCACTAAAAAATTCTTATAAAATTGTGAAGTACAATACTATAATAACTCTATTAACAGTAAAAGGTATGTTTAGCCACAAAATACTCTCCTTTAGAACATGACTAAAACCAAAGAAAGCTATTTTAGCTTCTACCTTCTCCAATTTCATTAATTGTCATTAATTTGAAAGAAAAAAATTCCTCACCTTTTCATATTGTGACTGTTCTCATTCATAATCTCCATCCTACCCTCGTTGGTTCTTACTAGTGCCTACAAGACCACTTACTAATTCTATTCTAATTTAACATGTAATCACGGAAAAGATTAAGCCAAAACATAGGTTGAACAAGACCAGATGAAGATAAAGTTTCTGCCTTTCAACTTCACATATCCCTAGAATGATGCATTTTAAAGGCAGATTGACTATTAACTTGTATCTCAGCAGTGCCTCTTGTTAAAGTACTTTGGCAAATTAATTAGGCACCAGCTTGAGAAAATATAGAAGTCTAGACTTGAAATATAACCAACTGCTTTTGAAGTGAGAAACAATGCGTGTACCATAGCAATACCATACTTCATTCAAGTGTACAATGGAAAGAGGTATTTTATAACTGATTTATACAAGCATTGTAAATAAGCAAACTATAATAACACACGGAGGTTGTTAGCCAGTCAGAACCTCAGAATTCCTCCCGCAAGTCTCCAAAATTGTAGTAAGGTGCTCTGATAACTGCAGCCATTCACAATCTTAAGGTTAAAACTGCGAAGATGCTTTTGCATTATAACAAATCTTTAGGACCTGCTGCTCCGTGGAATTCCTAGTCCTCAGCAAAGTACTCGGGAATCTCCTACCATCCTTGAGGAGAGCAAGGAACCAAACAGAAATCAGTTAAATGAGTGGGCAGCTTCTTAAGGTAGCCAAATAAACATGGCAAAAAAAGGTTGATGAAGAAAATGGCCTGAGAAAATTTGAGAATATCAAAAAACTACCCTGGCTTCTGTGCTGGTCCCAAACAGTCAGGTGTCTACTATCAGGGGTAGCTGAATGCTCCTCTCAGCTCCGACGTCTCACATTCAGTGTCCCTTGCAAGAGGAGCTTCAGCCAGGATAGCCCAGGCACTAGAAAAGACCGGGATCCTCTTCTGTTGTCTCCAAACCCCCAAGTAGTTATTGGAGAAAGCTTTGTTGCCAGTCCTGCTCTGTACTCATTAACACAAAGCAAAATTATTTCAATGGGATAAGGATTTTCCCAAAATGCCGAGAAGCTAAAATCATCTCCCAAGATATATGAGATCTGAGTTCAGCTTTCTGCTCTGGGTCTCCTTACCGGCCAACTTTTTACCTCCCTCCTAATGCATTCTTGCAGTGATAAACTCTGTCAGTGTGTGGTTTTCTCTCCCGCAGAAGGGCTTAGGCTTACTTTCTTTTGTGGATTATTGCCTATGAGTCACACAGGTCTGTTCTTAATGCAGAAGGACCGGTGAGCTCTGCAACAATCTGCTTTGAAAGGTCATCGGTATCTTAAGGCAAATCCTTCTGTAAACATAAGATCCTCTGACCTTCAGTAGGCAGGAAGGCCTGTCAGTCCTCATTTCAGGTCAGCCACTTACACGGGACAAAAAATGAAAAAAAGTAAAAGGCTTTGTGCATCACTGGGTCAGAGTTTGAGCTCTGGGACTGGCGGTCTGCACAACACAGACCTTAGGGTCCCAGACAAAAAAAGGACAAATATCCTTTGTGCCTTTTGAAAACAGTGATCTTTCCTCATATTTTCTTGTCCTGACTCTTCTCACCCTACAAGTGTAGTCCCTCTTCCCACCAGCAAAGAGCAAATGTACTTTTAACTTGTTCATCAGTGCTTTTTAACATGCACTTAGTAGTAAATCAAGGTAAGTCTGAAACCTGGCCATTTTATTCTGCAAAATCAGATATTACTTTAAACTAACCATCACATACTAAGGAAGTTTCTTCTACCTCATTGACATTTAGATAAGAAAATGTCACAGCTATTGAGAGAAACAACATTGTTTGGCCCTTCGGTAGGATTAGTGTGTCAGAAAGGTAAGAGCAGCAGAACTCACAAGACTGAAATTTGCTTTCATTAACAGTAAAAGCCTCTCATGGTCCTAGCCTGCTGAGAATTTAGCCTAACTCAGTCTGCTAAATGCCACTCACGGTTGGAAATCAAGGATTATATTTTCTGTTTTCTTAGAAGATTTTTGAGCTATATTGATACGTGGAGATTTTAGGAGGGTTTTTTCTTTAAAAAAAAAGAAGTGTTTTGGGCTTCTTCAAGTTTGCTTTATATTTACGCACTAGGTTTGTCTGTGTGCATGCACCTGCACCCATGCATGCATACAGGGAGAGTATGTATGTGTGTTTGTTTGCACATGTGCATGTAGGAGGAAAATAACATGTGCGCACATGGACACACAAGCCTAGATGTAACAAAAGATGGTCTAGACTTACTCAGCACCGCTGAAATTAACACCTCACTCAAGTATCCTTATTTACTCCAAATGAGCTCTTTTTGTAAAGAAGCAATACTTACGTAACACTGACCTCCAGATATTTATTCTTTGTATTATGGTAGCACACATGAGATTCCAACCCACTTATGATGTACAGTAAGATTTAAACAAGCAAAACCACATAGTCACCAATCCAAAGAGTTTATACTTAATTCACCTGCCTACTGAGATGGCTGAAATTGTTAAGTAGAGACCCCATGTTTCCATGTTTTTGAGAGGTACTCACCTGATCAGAAGCATAGGCCACCAGCCTGCCCATGATGTCTGCTTCTGTCAGCTCAGGCTTTTCTGACTGCACCTGTCTGATAGTTTTTGTTCTTGCAGCAAGCAGTGAAATCAGGGTGGCCTCACTTGCACTTCCCTGTGGGACAAATTGAAGGAAGGTTCAAAAGGAAGACATTCCAGAAGAAGAAAAGCAACATTTTCTTCTGTATGAATCTGTGAAGTTGTTAACAGAAACCGCATATGAGAAACTGTGTGATCTCATGCTTTTTAAGAATATGTGTGAGAGCAAGGGAGGAATCTCTATTTGATCTTGGTCTCCTCCTTCCTGATGGCTCTGTCTGCTCTCTTTAATCTCTATGCTTGTTCAGTTTAGGCACCAGCCTTGCAATCAATGCTAGAAAGCTGGACTCACAGACTTCAGTGCATGTGAAAAGGCTCTTGAACCAGGCACCAGTCATTTGTTAACCAGTAACAATGGCAGAGTAACTGTTGATTTCTGTTACTCTGGATTTCCGCACGTTTAACTTCCATCAGAATCTGACTGTCAGCTCTCATTTCTATCAAGCAACATGCATAATTGTAACGCTTATTTAATATTTAGAGTTACCCTGGGCAAGTCAATTATTGTGGCTAAAAGAGAAAGAACACTGAAAAAGCAAAAAAGTTGTGATTCAATACAGCTAACTGCATTTCAAAGTATTAGTTATGTACGTTTTCTTCATCAAAAACACACAGATGAAAGGGATTTGTGTCTTGGATACTCTGTGACAACAAAGAGGGGAATTTTTTTGTATCAATTGATCTGTAAATTTCACAAGAGAATACAAGATCCCACAAATTCTTTTATGGTTTTCCTCTAGAACAGGCAGATGAAACATGCTCTAAACTGCTCTTTTAAAGTATAAGTAACAGTTTGTAAACACATGTTCATAAATTTCAATGGTTTTGGGTGTCCATACGCAAGATAGAGTTTTCAGGTACTTTCAAAGTTGAGCAATTGTCATGTGAATCTTCCTCTGCCAAGCACACAACACTGCAATGAAGACAGTTGCTCATATTAATAAGTATGTCTCAGAAATACCCCCAGTGTCAACAAGCTAATTTTGGAATTATGTTTCTTATCCTCTACCAAAATTCTATCCTCGCTCTGTTGAAGACCTGTGTATACTTACTAATTACAACAAATGTTTAAATGTTTGGGAAGTCTTATTTCTTCCCTGGAGGTGGGCCTGATCCTACAGATTTCATACATGAGAATGATCCCAGTGAACTCAGACTTTCTCCTAATACTGAAGTGAGCTGAAGTATTTATGAGACAAAGCTGTCTTCTACACATGCCAACATCTCAACAGTGAGTGAACTCAATCCAGCTGAAATTCAACAGACTCGTGAATGGAGTAAGCAGGAAAAAGAACAGTCCCTAAACATTTACTAAATGTATTGCCATGACAAATATATTTTATCTACCTTGCCAGTGGTGTGGGATTTGAGGAACGTAGACCCCAGGGTCTGCATCAGAGCACAAAGACGAGCTGGAGACAGTTTTGTGCATTTCTTATAGCTGCTTCTGCTGCACACAGTGTTATGGCAACTGAAGGAACTATTACAGATACAGAATGGTATAGGAAAACAAATCTCTCTCTTGGGTCAAGTAAGGTAGAACTTCCATGTGGAGGCAAGGGGTGAAGGAAATTCTGTCCATTAATTACAGAAAACATAGTTTGGCAATCTCCACATTTAATCTCATTCTGCATATGGTCTGTAGCCAGATACTCAGAATACTCATCAGAATATCTGAACACCGAGAAATCATGCCTGTCCATAGTTCTCAAAACTCATGATGCAAGAGTATGCACACACAATTATCTTCATCTTACACATAAAGAACTTTCAAGATCTGATTCATCTTACTTTATCTGTCTAAAAAGTTAAATATCTGAGATAAAATAGTTGTTTAGGGTCCCTTAGTATTCAGTGGAGAGAGGTAAGCATATCCAGAAAGCAATAATTCCATCTATTTTAGGCAAATATTCTGGGCTGAGATAAATGGTTTCTCTAAAGGTACCTTCTTGTATGTTCAACTTTATCTGACAAAATGTGAGATGAATCTCACACAGTGTAAGTTTCCTGATGAGAAACTTCTGTCATCATGTCTTTGTTTCTGCCATGCTCAGCACAATGTTATCTAACAATGAAAAAAATAACCTGTGCTTCCTGACAGTCCTGTGAGCTAGAATATAATGGCTCAGGTCCTGGGTGTCCAGCAGATGTGAGGCATGTTTTACAATCAAGAACATCACCTATTTTTTGAGAAGCTGGTTTTTTTCCTATTTTTTTTACAAGCAGTATATAATCTTCTGAAGAACCCTGTATAATCAGAAGACCTGCATAATGGGCATACACTATCAGACAATGTTGCCTGAAATAGCCTTTCCAGCAATTCAGCAGGTGAGAATACTTTTTGTTTGCGCAAACCACTGCAACTTATTGTGATGTTCATACAGGTTTTCAGGTAAGTTGTCTGTCCTCAGAATGAAGTTGGGCAACATAAAGCCTGCGTGCAAGACCTAATTCCATCTCACATCGGGCAAGTCACTGAAAACAACCTTTCTAAACCTGGGTTCTTCACAGTAAAGTAAGCTCTAGCACCCTTGCATTTAATATGTGGGAAATAATACTAGTTATTACTTTTACTAAAATACATATTTAAGGGGATACATGAAAATCTTTCAAATATATGTGGAGAAAAGGGCTTTTTTTTTATTCCTTTTTTTGTAATGATAAGGCCCTGTAAAACTGTTAGTGTCTTTACAGAACATGTAAGGAATATGCATATGAAAGAAATGCGCACAAATATATAAAAGAAAATGGCTGTAGGAAATTCCAAAGGTTAAGGCATTAATCTGAGATCTGGAAATTTAAGCCCCCACTATTTTGGAGACTGCCTGGCTGGGCAGGCAAATTTCTTAGGTTCAAGAATAGCCTCAGCCTTCTGAGGAGTGCCACAAGATGTCCTGGCATACTGGCTGTTCATCCAGGCTGATGCGTAGTCAGTGTATACAACAGTTCTTGTATGAATTACCTTAGACAGAAACAAGGATGGACAGGAAAGGGCCTGTTGCCCAGCTGAATTTTGCCTCCTGATATACATCTGGGACATAGCCTAAAGGCACCTGAATCCAGCAACTTGGAAATGCTTTTGGATGTCTCACGATAGACATAGGCTTTTTCACCTTGCCTCAGTTTCCATAAGTCACCTTTTTTATACTGAAGCTTACAGTGTTTGCAGAACCTGGTTTATAAGGCTCTTCTATTCACTTGGCACCAAAGTCTTGCACTGAATATTTTTGAGGAAAAAAACCCTTGGTTCTTGAACTACTTGGCTAACTGACAAGAAAGATAAATCAGCAGTGTTCCTTGCTAGGCCAAAGATAGGCTGAGTCTCATTTTGTGTCACCCTTAAAATACTTTTTCTTTGCAGAGCAAGAAAACTCTTTAAAATTCAAAGTAGGTACACTTTTCAGCAGTTTATCTAGAATGAACAGCAGGATACAAGCTTCAGGAAGAAAGTTGCTTTCTCACTTATTTTTAAAAGCTGTTTTTTTCTCCTCTTGAATGCTGTATTCTGCATTAAGTGAAGGATGATGATACCTTTCCTTTTACCGCAAGCAAACAAAGGTTGCCATGGCAAGCAGGCTCAAGAGGCGGAAGAAATATCAGCAAAAGCTGATGTTCATGTCCACCAGAGCTCTGAACTGAAATTTTCTTTCATCTTTTGCCATTTTCAAGTGTCATCCTGCACACAACAACAAAGTGCTTCATATTGACATAGACTTTCAAATGTAATTATAAGCCACTTTTCAGAGGCTCAGTTTTACCCAGTACCACAATAATTACTTGGTATTTACAAAGAGAATGACTGTCACTTTCACACGCTCATGTTGTCTTTGCCTCACGCTCTCTTATTTGTATCATTATTCTTTCAAGAGCAAGACAAGAAGATCTGCAGCGCAAATGACTTCATCGTAAGCAGGAACACAGAGCCCACTTTCGATTCTTGAAACTGACTGGTTTCTGATTAAAATTATGGGCAATCCAGCATTGTCGGCCTGGAAGGGCAATATTTCTTGCTGATAACCATCAGGCATAATTGCTTGCTTTCACTGGTACAAAATAAATACTGTTGAGACGCATGACGAAAGCTTGATTTCTTGAGCATAACCCCCTCCCTAGTAATCGTAATGAAAACAATCCTAACAGAGCAAGCAGATGAGTAAAGAGTTATTCTGGAAATACACTGGTATAGGTGTAGCTCCGCCTAGGAGAACATAGCAGTTGGGTTAAATTCATACTTGCCTGGGAAGATGTTGGGAAGAATTCATTGGAAATGCTGTAGGCATTTGCAGCTGAGATCAAAGAAAGAAGCCCCCACTTCTAGCATGCAATTCAGATGTGTTTTAGAAGCCTATCTTAGGATAAAATGGACTGTGCCCTGGCCTCCAATGACCAGATTCCAGAGATTATCAAAGGAGCACAGAACAATTGTTTAAAATTCAGTCTTTTTCATAGTAGAGATCTGTTTTAGTTAGATTAATAGCTGTGACCAGGGTCTGCATGTGCAGAAAGACCAGGTGCTAGTGGAGCCATGACTGACAAACAATATAGCTTTATTATGCATGCAAGTTTGCCCATTGATGTTATATTCATTATCGTACAGATACTCTGTTCAGACATCGTAGGCTTTCATTAAGCAGCATTGGAGCTGGAAGCCATTGTGCAGCGGGAGAGATATGACTTAGTCGTCATCACAGAAACATGGTGGGGTGACAGCATTGGAGTGCTGCAATGGATGGCTATAGACTCTTCAGAAGGGACAGGAGAGGAAGGAGAGGCGGTGGGGTGGCCCTGTATGTTAGGGAGTGTTTCGATTGTCTAGAGCTCAACGATTGTGATGATGATACGGTTGAGTGTTTATGGGTAAGGATGAGGGGGAAGGCCAATGAGGCAGATATCCTGCTGGGAGTCTGTTATAGACCACCCAACCAGGATGAAGAGGC